CGAGTAGTTCTTTCACTCAGTTACAGCGCATCTCGTCGCTGACGGTGGAGGCGCAAAAAAGCAACAATCTCTGCGGGCCGAACTACTTGGACAAAGATGGGGATCCTGCTCAGGTAAATGTGCTTTCAAAGTTAATAGCTAATGTTCATGTGGAACTTCTGCGTTGTAAACCTTTACCATTAACTCAATGTTCAATGCTTTACTTATTTTGAGTCCACTTAATTGTTAACGCTGGAGAATTCTCTAAAGAATGGCGAGCCGCTCTCACATACCGTAATGGAGGTCGAACCTCAGAGGGTCGCTTTAGCCTTTATCCTTTTTAGTGAGCAAAGCTTGAAAATGGGCTGTCGTGTTCTGAAGAAACTGCAACTGTTAGTTTCATTCGCAAAGGGCACGTTCTTTAGCTCTTGCAAAACACGACCTTCTCTCAACTTTACTGCTCTGGTCCGTCCGATCGCCCTTCCCCATCCTCCTACCATCTTACGGTCTTTTCCCAGCTTCTTACCACTTTTCCGAGGCTTGGCTTTCCTTGACCAAATACTGCCACATTCCCCATGGAAGGCTCCAACGATGTGGATGGCGCAAATGAAGCAGGAAAAATCCACTGCCAAAGAAAAACCTCTCAGGTCAAATACGAACACAGCAGGGGATCTCTAGCGTACGACGTGCTCTAGTTGCAACGCTTCCTCTTCGCACATTCTCTTAAACGTGTGGATACCTGAGCTCTACTGACTTACCATCTGTACATTATCTCGTGCCAAAGGTGTACGTGCTGTGCGAGCAGCAACAGCATTTGCACGTGCAGATGCTGCGTAATCAGTAAGTAACGAACTGCAACAAAAAATATTGTCAGAATCAGAAGTGGGTCACTAGGTTTGAAGTCGCTTACCTTGTCGCACCTCCGTCAGCATACAGACGAACACTATCGCTGGCATGGCCAATCTTAATGATCTGCTCCATTTCGCGATCACTGATCTGAGGAGCCGGCAGGATCAGCTTACTCCTCTTCTTTTCTTTATGCTTGAAAACTGACTCAGGTTCATCTTCAGGCCTAAATTAGCGTATTTAAGGCAGCTATTCTAAAAAAAACTTTTCAAGCTTCGTACTTCTTTCGCTTCAGTTTTTCCCTGTCTTGTTTACGAAGTTCGTTCTCAACTTCCATACGGCGTGGTTTTTCATGATCAGCTATAGCCTACAACAACAAATGCGTAGCATGGGACTAATCAATAAAAGTATAGGAATAATCAATAAAAAACCAACTCTTTGATGCTTGTCACTGGTATCTATTTTGTCCTCAGTTGGATCATGGAAACCAGCGGGAACAGCTTTCTCAAACGGTATCTGCAAAGTTTTTATAACAAAGAGCATCATCTTTCACGAGTGAAAAGTAAAAAACAAAGGTTCAGAGCGGCTACTCCGCTTCATGAATAAACAATGCAACACAGTTCGGCTTGGAGGGGGAGGGGGGAAGTGGGCATTCGCCGATTCTTACGCTAGTTCCTGTTGAATTATAGGTCTCAGTTGAGTGAGACCTATTCACTCTTACCAAGTGTAAACGAAATTTATAGTGCGGCATAGCTTCACAGGAATTTACGGGTCTCCACAGCAGGCTTCGACAGCGATCGCTGGGAACCAGCGAAATGCCCCCACCAAGCCGAACTGCACCAAATTACTAAGGATATTGGGGAATGCAAAAAGGAATAACAAACCTCTCCACTGTAATCGATCTGATTTCTTTTGAGTCGTTTAAACCTTCGAACAAGCAGGCCAGCTTCACGCATTTCACGACGTTTTTGTAGTGAGGCGAGGCGACGGGCTTCCGACAACTGCCTTTCACGAGCCTGAACAATTTATATGAAATGAAGTATTTCGAAGGAAGTGAAGATGGGAAAGAAGGCGCGAGCAATATTGTCCATCGCGGCGACCTTCTTGAAGGGAAAGCATTGGGGTCCCATACACAATCTCTACACCACGTTCATACATTCCTGACGTGGAGATCGGCGGAAGAATGCGAAAGAAGAAAAGTATGAGTATCGATTTGGAGAATTAGCGTTTCAGAGTCAAGCGCTTCTTCTCTAGTTTTTTACCTGACTTTCCCGAGTCGCAGTCAGCAAAGTATGCACACAGTTGCAAATTTCAACGATCAAAATCGACAATCGATTGAAACTTATTCCACAAAGGAAAAGGGATCAGTGCTTCTAGCTCTTTTTAAAAGGTCGTTTAGGAAGTCGAGATTGTACATCAACCATAATTTGTGCTGCTGCTTCGTTTTGTGCTATAGCTTACCCTGCCTCCTTTGCGGATTTCATTTATCCACTCTCTATGATGAAAACTTCTATCTACTACTGAAGCAGAGCGAATCGAACAAGAAAAAAATGAGAAAAAATTAACTAACACACCTTTCGTTTTGCCTTCTTTCCCTGAGTGTTCGCTAGACGTGCACGAGCTTCTGACAGCATTTCCAGTTCTGATAAAAGGATTAAGTAAATGTCCATAATTGCACAAACACATCTATTCGGGAGCAGTTCGGCTTGGTGGGGGCTCAAAATGATGTTTAGCGAAACAGATTGAGGTCACCTTATGAAGACCCGTAAATTCCTGTATCCGAAGGAGCTCGCTTTTACCATTTCTCAGCTTCACAGGAATCTACATGTCTCAGCAAAATGTGACCATTTGACGAACATGAGCTACCAGAAGAAAGGAAAAGTGCAAAATGCCCCTTCCAGTCCAAACAGCGCCCTCGTGCTACTCCAGAAGTCATCTTGTCAACTGAATACCGTACCGTCATCGTCCATATCAATAGGATCCGGTCGTGCTGGTTTTGTTTCTGGAGTTGGATCAATTTCTCCAGGCTTGAGTCTTTTAGCCTCTGCGGCTTCATCATCTAATCCTTCTGCCTTTCTCTGGGCCTCGTCCAACAAGTGCTCATATCTTAAACACGATGGTTTATTCTAATCGATGGTCGAAGCTTTTTTGAGACTTTCTGCAGGAAACTAACAGAATCAAAAAATTCCTGGACACAAATCTTCGCTCAATAACAACAATATATAACTTCTAACAACTATAACGCTTCACAATTCCTCAAGAATTTCTTGAAACACACAACTATTTCAATGAAAACGGAGGGAACGTAAAGGTTTGTCATTTTCGGCATCACTAACAGCCTACTAGTTACGAATGTTTCCAACAAAATGGCGTTGTAATCAAGGCACATTCTACAATCCCTAGCAGGGGAGGGGTCAAATTCCGCCACTGGGAGGGGGCGTAATTGTCATTCGAAAAATGTCTTATTTTCTCGGTTTTCCCTATCACATGAGCTATTCCACCTCCCCCCCCCCCTCGACGGCAGCTTTCTGCGGGGAAACATAGAAATTTCTGGGAAGGTAACGGAGGATGGGAAACTTTGGCAAGATGGCAGGTACGATGGGGGACGGGGAAAGGGGTCGTACAAGAGGAGGAACTTCGGTGGGGTCGTATTTTGCAGGTTTTATCCAATTGTAGGACGTGCCCTGATTGTAATCCAGTCAATAATTAAAACAAGCACTTACCTCTCAAGACACTGCGCTGCAGTTCTTCCAACAATTGGTGCAATAGTTCTCCATTGCGTAGGCATCAGTTTGGCGAGATGGAGCAGCTTCTCATCTTCCTCACGAGACCATTCCGTCTTTTTGATTCCTGGATCCAGCCACTCGAACCAACGAGCCTGAGTTATAAGAATATTCAAATGGCTTCGAAGAAAAAAGAAAGAAAAAACTGTTCAACTTAGGAGATCACCATTATTTAACTTTACGACCCTCAAACCTCAAAAAAGAGTAATGCCATATTCGTCCTGTTCTGTTTACCTTGTCACCATATGCAAGGTAAACTTCAACGATGCACCCCATGAACAAAGTACTCTCCATCCCTCCAAATCTTTAAAGAACCAGCAGCTGAACTGCATGGCAGTCTCATCGCGTAAAACAATATCGGTGGGTACAACACAACTCATTACAGCAAGAAGAAGAAAAAGTACCTTCTCGCCGAGCTAGAGACTTCTATTCAAAGAGTGCAGAGAGCAGAAAACATTTCAAGAAGGAAAGTAGACCATTAACCAAGCGCTTCAAACGTACCTTGCACTGTTTTGCTGATTTCCTGTGAAGTAACGAGGCGATACGACTCCACTGATTTTTTCCATATTTCATAATAGCGGCTTTGAGGATTTCATCCTAGAATTAGCTAGTTAGTTGGTGGTTATTAAACACTGCTGTGAATCAAACAAGGATAATCTAACCTCTGTGTTACGCCAAACACCTCCTTTAATGATAACTCGCACCATCTTGCTGTAAAGTTTAACTCCTGTAATGACACCATTATATTCAGTGATGTTTCTGAAATGTTGGAGTAGTACCTTTGGAGAGGGGGGGTTTGCATAGAACTCCCGGTGCAAAATTAGAAATAACGACATTAGAACGGCGAACGCGGCCTTACCAGTTTTGCACATTGGAGTCCCACAAAAAACCCTCCCCCCCCCCGTCCAAGCTATTGCCACCAAAAATATACTTCGGGGAGACTGCGAATTTTCCCCAAGGCTTGGAAATTGAAGTTATAGAAAAATGATCGAAGAAGAAAAGAAATTGCTGCGCTGGAGAGAAGAATTGCTATGATCCTCCAAGGTCAGAGTTACGCACGAGCTCAAAATCGCGGAAAAGCAAGAAATGCACAAATACGACCCCTGACGCTAGCCGTTACTATACAAGCAGTACGCTTGATTTCACAGGGATGATCTTGATCTAACGAAAGGCATATGATAATCTAATCAGGTATATCAACTGTTTTAGGGCCGCTTACACATGCAATTGCACCATTACATCCAATGCAAATGACGGTAATGTGTTTGGCAACTCCTCGGATGCTCTTCGAGCAACAATCCGCTGGTAAACTGCATAATTGAACGAGATATTTTTTAAAGTCATAAAATGCCAGCAAGTAATATAACGTAACACAAGCTAGTAATCAAAACAAACCTCAAGTTGAACGTGCCCCGGTTGAGCATACATTATCGAAACAATCGCTCGATGCGCGAGGCGAACTCGTCCACCTGACCTCGTCTAACCTTGTCCTTCGGGAACCTTATTGCTTTCATTCACTGGAATCGTTTGTCCTACAGGACTAACTAACCCAACATGGAGTCTTCCGAGGCATAATGTTTTGCGATATCAGCATTTACATGATAATATCTGATAACATTTCACAAATCGCCTCCTGACAATTTCGGAACGAGTTCCCATCTTTAAACGGTAGACTTCTGTAACTGCAGACAACGCAGCATTTGCCGAAAAAATTTTCCCTGTCTGTAATTTGTTTATAGTTTATTTGTTTTGTGTTGGACTTTCTGCTTTGATTTTTCAAAATTTTCTAGATCATGGAGGTCGACACTTGTGAAGAGGTTGCAGTGAATGAGACAGAAGAGCCAAAAACGACAGAAATCAAAGGTCTACCAAAGTCGGGCCGATGGTGGAAAGAGACTCGTAGTGCCAGGTACTATGCACATCTTTTTCATTTGCTTTCATCAATTATGGGTTACTTCCCTCATTTGTAGGTCTTTTTGCTGTGAATAAATTAAAGAAAGTAGTCTCAATTCCACGGCACTTACTGATTCATCCCATGCTGGCTAGAGTAATGCGCTTCTTCAGTGTTTAAACATGTGACATTGATGAACAAAATAAAACGCGATGAGGGTGGCTGCTTGACAAACGATATGAAATCTTTCCAATGTTCAGCTTTTTTAAATCACGGTTGTAAGCTCGAACGGGAAGATGATCGCCCTTCCAAGTTTCGAGTTGTGACAGTTCGCTCTTTGAAAGGCCGAAGAATTCATTTTTGATGGTGTATGATTGAAGAACGTTGAAGTTCGATGGAGTTACAGATCTGCTAGAATGTTTTGGAGCTTCATATCGTCCCATCCCGTCGCTGTTAAAAAGCAGATACTAACGGGTTGAACAAAGACACATTTCATATCCCAGAAATGGACGTGGCTACATGCTTTATGGACATGGCAAAAACGCTTTTTTTGCCATGTCCAAATATGCTTCCACGGATGCTTCCATTTAAGACTTTTGCCATCTTATTTCCTGCTACACAAAGATATGATATCTCACCGGAAACGCAGCTGGCGCCACGGCGAAACGAGGTACGCTATCACGCCCTCTCAGTTTCTGGGATAAGGTGTTCCTCGGATGAACCATTAGAAAGGATAAGATTGCCTTTCTTCGAGGAGACTGAAAGAAAACAGCCTACCCTTTTTTCTAGCGACCGAGTAAGATTTAATTTTGGAAAGTCGCTAACGCTGATGTACCTGTTCAACCACGTACGGTGGTACAAACTGACTGGACTTGATTTATTAAAATAAGTTTTTCTGCTCTCATTTGGCCTTCCCTTCAAAAACCACAGTTTTGACTAGGTTACGAATGCTGAGTCAGCAGCCCATAGTGCCTTTGCACACTGAAGATCTTGTCCAAACGTCCATACCCTTGTCCATACGGTGTTCTGTGGCTACTGTGACCTGACACAGCTCAATTTTGACAAGGGGCTCAGTCAGTGGAGGCCCGTCTTTTCTACGAGACTGTTCCGAGGCGATAGCGAGCGTCTGCGCTCTGAGCTTCAGTCTTGGTCAAAGGTCATGAGAAAAGGCAGGGGAGGGCGCGGCCGTGTGGTCCCAACTCAGCTAATTTAGCATTAAAATAAGACTCATCATAAGTTCATTCGCATAGTTTTGGGTGCCCTAGCTGTTGTTGTCCTTTATCTGTCTGCTCTCTTGTCTTGTACAACCAAGGCGAAAAGTTTTAACAGCTACCTACTTTCCCAATGGTTACTATTTCCAGGCACAGTGCTGTGATCAAAGTGAAACCTTTGAAATCATCATGGGAAAAGAAAATGGCAGATAAAGCGAAAATGAAGCAAGCCAAGTTGCTCCAGCAAGAAATCCGTGAACGTCAACAACAAGAAAAACAGGTTAGTCTACGGTAAAAACAGGATGTGTTGTGCCATCAGTTCGATCCATTCTAGGAGAAGATTGAGCGCAAGAAGGAACAGGAGAAACGTCGGCTAGAGAATGAAAGGAAAGGCGAAGTTGTGCAGGTAAACCACAATATTTTATGAGCTATAGATTTTTCAGCTTTTCGACCACCTCATAAGTTGTCTATTGATGACGGGATTTAAGGTATCAAAAATACGGCGAAAAGTTACGCAAACTAATCGAGAACAGTTAATTGTAGAGAAGCGAGACACAAGCTAGTAATTCATGCAAAGTCGCTGTTATATTTTTGTTCAGTTGCTTGTTGTTGACGTGTGTTGTTGTTATGATTATTTTGTCAGATGCCTACGTGTTCTTACGACTTGCACAATGAAAAGCTCGAATAATTTTTGTTTACAAATATCATTTCTTCAGACTGTGTGGAAACCAAAGTTTCTATCATTACTTCTGAAAGAGGAAGTGTTCCCCACAATTAGGTCCTATTACTTTCCTGGGTGTACGGTTTAAATGGACTATTGTTTTATACTAATAGTTTAACATCGGCCTACTCCTTTTATAGCTTTCACACGTGCAAGAAATAAAGCTGACTGTTGGGAATTTCATGGACTATGCAAACGCCGCGCATATAGCGAAAACTGTCGCGGTGGCACGGCTGACCTCCTCGTAGAGTCTAACCCGGTTTGCTCCTTTCCATGGCAGTACGATTTTAAGGTCAGTGATGAAAACCAAATGAAAATTCGCAAAAATGAGCGATACTATGTCTAGGCTGTACGAGAACACAGCGATAAAGCTTGGTCCTTTTACCGTGAGATCTCGTCCGATGACGTCATATCATGTCGAAGAGTCATTTTGTTTTCTCTGAAATTCCCATATGACTTCATACCCTTACAAGTTTCCATTCGCTTATGTTTCGCCAGCGGTAGTATTAGACGCTGGGATAGGACGAAGGAAAATGAACAAAAGAGAAGAAAAAGACCAAAACGAAAAGTCTGACATCACCAGCTCTTGAAAGCTCCTTTCTTGGAGTAATTGAATTAGTTCTAATTATTGGGGCTGCTGCAGCATTTCCTTTCAACTGTCTGACTTCGTGACTGCTGACTAATTGCAGAAACTTTCGGTCGCTTTGGACCTTCCTGCTGTATAACAAGGAGGTAAAAAAGCGAGTGGGCGACTGAAGCAATCTTGAGAGCTCCCTAATGGACAAAAGCTAGAGAGCGACTCGTTAATGAGTCGGACTTCTCACCTCACTCTACTCAAGCCCCACAGTGAGGCAATGCGGACCTGTTCTATCGGGAGACTTGGCCATCTCCAACCATATCCTTTCAGACCAGGTCTCCCCATTTGCTGAGTAAAACACAGCGGATGGGAAGAGGGCAGGGGGAGAGGGTAGGACGCAGTTTGCAGAAATTTTCCACAAAAATTTTCCACACAACTTGGGGGTATGCCCTGTTCTGGACGCCGCTTGTAGTGCGCTAAAAAGTGTCAGTTTGGGACCACTCCAAACCTTCGAACCTTACTCTAAAGATGCTCTCAGAGGGTGTACTTGAAAAGCCCGAGTCCCGAGTCGCTGTATCGCGCAAAAGCACACTTTTTCCTAGTTGGTAGGATTGACATACCGTAGCATTGTCATGCTGAACGAAACAGATCCTGGTGCGAATACCGCGCGCGTGATATGACTTGAAACGTCTCTTTCGCCATGATCGCCGCAACTTGGGCGTGCTGAACTACACCAGCTACTGTATATCGTGGTCTCCGACGATAAACCCATCCCTCGTCGTCTCAGCATCTCAGACCATCACTTTTCCTTGAAGCCGCCTCCTACGTGACCTGAGGGTCGCTGCCAAGTATCTACAAGGTCTGAGGCGGGACTTAGGCCCCTGCCCTGCTAACTTACGATGAATATCGAACATTTCCTTTCCACATTCCTACGTCGTATTCTCCTCTTATATCGTTTGAAGTGCCGGGCTCCTAATGGAGACCACTGTAACAACCCCCAATGTATGTCACTGTCGTGGAATCCCGACTAGAGAAGGAGTGGAGGCCTACTTTGAAGGCGAAGAGGGGCCGTATTTCGTACTTGTCCGCGTTCATCGCGCGGGCCGGCGGCCGCTTGTCGCCTTTGACGAAAGGCGGATTTAAGTCTTCAAAGCGAAAGTCAGCTAAGAAACTGGCCTGACTTTGGACCATTTGGGAGTGTCACTACAGCTCCAGAAAGGTTCTATAAAATAAAAAGGATAAATTCTTCGCCGTTGATCAATCCCTTCTGGGCTTGCGGGGGCCAGCCCAGAAGGGATTGATCAACGTGATGTGAAAGTCGGTGTTTTTATCCTCCCAGACGAATCTACCGTCCCCGGAGGGTAGAATGTTTGGTTGGCTGGTTGGCCTTGGCGAGAGTCGACCCGGGATCTATACTGGGCTCTTTTTTCTGTTATATTTTTCATTTCAATTAAGTTTGATTCCGTGTAAGAGAAGGAAAATGAAGAAAGGAAGTGGATAAGGGGAGTATAAGAGGTGTTACAAAGGAGGTTCAATTCGGTCCTTTTCGGTGTTTTCGAGGGTGCAATATCCGAACAGCTGAGCGGAATCGCGCTTGTCGAGAGCTCTTCCCAATCATCTGCCTCTTCCTCTGATCCCCTAGATGACAAATGATTGCACGCCACTGGAGAGCGGCTGTTTATGGGAGGTACAGAATGATGCCCCCTCCAGCTGTGAAATTTTACAATCCATCTCCTCCTTGTTCTTGAGGCGTCCTCTTAGTGTTTAAGTCCTCCGAAAAGTTGGAAACATGAACCGGCATCCCCAGCACCATTATTTCCTTGCCATGTGATCTTCGGTGTTATAGTGAGGAGTTTAACGTAGCCATCATCGTTTTATGGCCGAGCTTTTCGGGCTCAGTTTATGACCCCACGGCCGTCTCACCATCATCTATCACAGCGACAGCGGTACTCGTTTCCTTCTCGCTCCCTCCTATGCACAACACTTACACCGATTTTCTGGCCTTCAGGCCTTCCGTATAATTTCTTAATCCCTTTTTAGATTCTTTTTCTACAGAGAAAAACGGGAGGTACACTCATAGTTCTCCCGTGCGAGGGATTCAGGGCACGTTATACGTTAGCTGGGAATGTCCCTTCCTCCCACCCTCTTCCGCTCGTTAGCAGTTTTTTTTGACGAAAAACTCAAGCAGGCGGTAGGAAGTCAAGAGAATCCAGGAAGCTTGGAAAATGGGGAGGGGATGCCATACCAAA